AGAATTTGGAACTCAGAGCTTTAAAAGTGTTAAAAATGTTTTTTACATGCAACTAGGGAAAAATAAAATACTAAGCAAACAAACAAATGAACTTATGGACCACAGTCAGGTCCCTGCAGCCTTTCTCTGTCCTCAAACAGGGCCTCTTTGTATTTGGTCCTCCTACCAATTGGCCTGTCCCCACATTTTTAATCTGAAAATTATAACTGTTAACACTTGAATTTCATTGGGGGGGGGGTTTCTATCAACAAGTTATTCTCTTCCTCTTTTCACAACCAAACTGTTCACCTACAAAAGGGGCAAGTTGCTTTAACTCTTTTTCATCACCCAACAGTTCATTTTCTGCCCCTTTCAACAGACATCTTATGTATGAAAGGAGCAGTCCCTTACACAAAGATGAAAAAGACTTACCATTTCTGTAAAGCTTTTGGGTTTACAAAGGTCCTTTCTCACAACTGTGAGTTAGGTAGTACAAAGATTTTTGTTCGCATTTCACAAAGAAAAAAGCTGGAAGCTGAGATTGAGCTCCTGCTCTGAGTTTGGGGTCTGAGCCACACCACTGCTGCTGCTGGCTTCTGAATACCCTCCTTTCTCAGCACTGCCCAGGGCCTTCCTATCTGGGGAGAACTAGGAGAACATTGTACACAGTAACAGCCACAGTGTGTGATGACTAACTTCGATAGACTTAGCCCTTCTCAGCAATACAAGGATCTAAGACAACTCCAAAAGACTCATGATGGAAAATGCTATCCACATCCAGAGAAAGAACTATGGAGTCTGAATGCAGATTGAAGCATACTGTTTGCTCTTTTTTCTTTTTTTTGTTTGTTTCTTCTTTCTCGTGGTTTTTCCCATTGTTTCTAATTCTTCTTTACAACATGACTAATGTGAAAATAGGTTCAATAAAAAAAAATCTCAATTAAGACTAAAAATTAAAGGTATAGGACACAAGAATGGGGTGGGAGGGGATGCTACATCTGAAGGTCTCCTTTCTTCTTAGCCATGAAATAATAAATCTGAATCTGTTATAAAACTGAGTAGGAGTCTCATATAATTTTCAGCAAAATTTCTAAGTTCAAAATACACACCAATTCAAAAATTATTCCTAAATTGATTCCTACTTCACTTTAATTTTCAAAACTCCCAAGTAAAATTTCAGACACTTCCTTACAAGTTTATTTTTCTCTTGTCAATCCAATCCTTACACTTCCAAACTTGATCAGAGAAGTAAAGGGAAAAGACAGCTCTCTTTTGAAAGCTCAGAGTTTCCCAGAGTGGTTAACAGGGGTACACACAATTACATTCACATAGGCTCTGAGAACCACACAGGCACAGAGAAACAAGTGAAAAGGGGGCTTCAGGAAAAGGCTAGTTTGATTTTAAACAGAGATGACATTAACAAAAAGAACACAGTTTAGTCCAGGGATGGGGAACCTGTGGCCTTAAGGTCACATGTGGCCTTCAAAGGCTGAGGACCTAGAGGGCAATGTGTGACTTTGAGGCTGAATGTTCCCCATCCCAGGCCATCACCCTGCTGAACTCTCTGCTAAGCAGGTATTTGAAAAGCAAACAGAAGAACATATCAACAAACACAGGGCTGATAACCGACGGGACCCTACTCTTAGTTTGGGTTACTGTCTCCAGTCACATGTACAGAAATACATATACTATATTTAACATGTCACAAAAATGGAACAAGGGCTGCAGCTATCTTAAAAATAACTTAATGTGTGTATTCAAGAAAGTCCTTTTTTAGGTCAAATTCTGGGATACAGACATATGCATATATGCATGGCTAACATAGAAATTATTGAGCTTCTCCCTTGGGTCCTTCACATCATCTGAGAGACTCTGTTTTGGTTTTCATTTTTCTTCTTTTGAGATTCCAATTGGCTTAATCCTTCATGGAGGAGAAATATTTTAGATTTAGCCTCCTTTTAAATTTTGAATTTTTTTGTAATGTTTTCTTGAAGGGATGAAAGCCTAGATTCGGCTTCCCTCTTAATGATTTCTAACAACCATTGGTTAAATGAGTCCCACTCAGGGTGTTTGGTTTTTGACCTTGCTTTATTGAGGGACATTTTTAAGTAACTAGTTTTATCTCTATCAAATAAACCCCACTGGGGACAGCAGTTTTGGGGATCAGATTTGTCAATGACTGCCAGTGTTCCTAAAACTTACAAATATCCAAGCCATACCGTGAAGCCATCTGACCAGCTGCAGTTCCTTTTAGGGGGCCAGGTGAAGTAGACCTCAAATTGATTGCCTATGGGTCTTTACCAGTTCTCAATTAAAGAGGTAACTCAACTGAAAATGATGGGAGTCTGGATTCAAGTGTGATTAGGTGCTTACTGGTCCAACGAGGCATAGGGATTGGGCATGTCAAACCCAGAAAATAAATGACCAAAGAGCCACAGAGGTTATGCAACAACTGTTAAACTCTGAAAAATAAAATAAAATAAAATAAAAACAAAGAGCTAACAATGGTTATAAGCAAAAAGCATTATTCCATTGGAGGAGAGAAACTAGACACATATGCCAGGGTCTGCTTTTAGGACCAGGCAGAACCAAAGCAGCAAGGCTAAGCTTTGATACACATAGTCATGGCTAGACAAAGAGCCAGACAGTGAGGTGTAGCCATAGCAATGAGAGGGTTAAAGCAAAAAAGAGACAAGTTTGCCTAGTGGAAAAAGTCTATTCATAGCAGGACTTAATGACCAGAACATGGTTCCTGCAGGTGCTCGTCTGAGCTCAGAGACTACTGGGGGCTGGCTTGAGCCAATTCTGTGATTTAGCTGCAGCAGAGTTCTGCCAGAGGGTGAGTGCAAAGGATTGTTGTTATGCCAACCTCAGGGCACAGCTTGCTTGCTGGGCCTTAACTCTGGAAAATAGGGTATCTCCTAATATTAAGAAAAGAGAGGAGTGAAAAGAGAGGGGTGGTCTTGGCATGAGGATCCTGACAGGCACAAGGGGTTAGTGCTGGTACCAGAGCATCCAGAAGCTCACTTCTGGGACCATGGAAGACATAATCGTCAATGAATCCAACCAGTGCTGCCACCATTTAATGTCAAGTCCTGAAATAAATCAAACTCATGAGTGGAGGAATAAAGCATCTTTAATCAAAATAACAGGGTGGCAAATCTGTTATTCGGAGGGAAGAGGGAGGAGGTCACATTAAGTAGCACCAGATGCCAGCTGCCCTTGGCAATCCGAGCAAGGCAAACACACTCATTCTGGTTAATTTACCCTTCATGATCTAGCTTGCCATGAATCTCAATGAAGAGGACAAAGACATTAAGAGCTGAGATCCAGCTCAAGCTAGGTTCCTTTACAAGGTAAGATCCTAGGGTGGGAACTCAGGGTGTAGTTTAGTTCAACCTAATGAAAAGTAAATCTCTTAAGAGTAAGAATACAAGGACATCACTGAAATGCCGACATTACTAGCATCATTAAGAGGGGATTGCAGGTAATGCTACCTTTGGTATTGGCAATTTTTCTGTCATTATAGTAACACTCTTTCTGTCAGCACCTACTATGTCCCCACGGTGGTACTTGCCAAGTATTAAAAGATGAGGCAACTTCTGCTGTCCTTGGCGGAAGATACAGCATGTAAACAGAAGGTGCTCATTCATGATCATTAAAGGAAGGAGAGAGCCCTAATAATTAAGGGAATCAAGAAAGATCTCTTACAAGACACGGCATGCAAGCTGAGACCTAAAAGAAGTCGGAGAAGAGGTGGAGGCAAAGAAGTGCATTGCATCCGTGAAGATGATGTCACACTTGAAGAAAGGAGGGAAATGGAAAGCCACATTTGCATAATAGCAGGTAGAGCCGTTTGGCTAGCAGGAGAAGGAATGTGAAATATGCCTGGCAGCGTAGGCCAGTGCTAAATCCTGAAGGGTCTTACAGAGCACTCTGAGGACAGAGTTTTTTTGGTTTTTTGTTTTGTTTTGTTTTACAATGAGAGGCCAGAAGGAAGCATGGAATGTTCTTGAGCAGTGGAATGACATGGTCAGACTTGGGCTTTGGGAAGATTCTTTTGGCGGCAGTGTGGAGGAAAGACGGGAGAAGGTCAAGACTGAAAACGAGGAGATAAATTGGGAGGATGTGGCAATAATCCAAGTGAGAGGTGAAGAGGACCTGTACTAGGGGCGTGGCTAGGTGTGTGCAGAAAGAAAAAGATGAATGAGAGAGAGGCGGTAGACTAAAACTGACCAGGAAAAATTACAGATTGGACATAGGGACGACGGGAGAGGGAAGAGTCACGGATGACTGCAAGGTGGCAAGCCTGCATGCTTGGGAGGCGCCTTCAACACAGACAGAAGACTTTGAAGGAGGGACAGTTTTAGGTTAAGATACTCCACTCTGTGTTGGGTGTGTGAGTTTGGTATGTCTGTGGGTTATCTGGTTGGAGAGGTGATGTGCGTCTGGAGTTCAGAAGAGATGCTAAGGCTAGATATGTAGCTGCTACGGCCTTTGGCCTCCTTCTCCCACAGTGAAGCTGGTTATACCTTCCCCTCAGAAATCTAGGAGGTGTCTTCAAGAGATGTTCTTCTCTTCATCTCCACTGTTAGGTGCTAACCTCAGTTCACTACCTACGTGAAATTAGCTTTTATCAAGGGATATTTCCTTTGAAGATAGAGTAATAACAAAAGTGTCAACATTTTCCTCCCACCCAACACCCCTAACGCCTTAGGGGTTCACTTTCTCCTGTAACACTTCAGATGCTTGGAGAACAGGTTCAGACTTAATAAAGCTTTTATATAGCATTGGCCCCATCAAGTTCATATTTAAATGTAGCATTGTTGCTGGGAGAATCTCAACCAGTTCCCTTGTCTGAGTCTCAGCTTTCTTCTCTGTAAAACTATCCTCTGAACGTATGTGAATAATTGAATTTCCCGTATATGTTATATCTGTTTCTTTCATAAAAGTATATGTTTGTTGAATGGAATATTGAGTATACTTTGCCTAAACTAAATTTTTTCCTTTTGGTTTTGCAGCTCACAGAGAAAATCAGGTTTTTCTCCAACATGACAGCCACCTTGCCTCCTGCCTCATCTACATCGACTAGCCTTGAAAACACCAGCATCTATGACTATTACTACCTTGATAATTTCCTGAGTACGGTCTGTAGGAAGGAGGCCATCTTGTCCTTTGGCCAAATGTTCCTGCCTATCTTCTATTCCCTAGTGTTTGTCCTGGGCCTGAGTGGAAACCTTTTCTTCCTCACTGTCCTCCTTTACTCTGCTCGTAGAAGACAGGTAACTGAGGTATACCTGCTGAACCTGGTTGTTTCTAACCTCCTCTTCGTGGTGACCTTGCCTTTCTGGGGGGCCTCTGTAGCCTGGCATTGGGTCTTTGGGGAAGTCCTCTGCAAAATCATATGTACCCTTTACACTGCTGGCTTCTACAGCAGCATCTTCTTTCTCAGTTGCATGAGTCTGGACAAGTATCTGGATGTCGTCCATGCTCAGACCCACCATCACCCGTGGACGCCAGCAAAGAGCTGGCTCCTTTCAGGTGGGGTGTGGACGGTGGCCCTGGTGCTTTCGATCCCTGACCTGGTCTTTGCTCGAGTGCAAGAAGGCACTGGTGGTATGCAGAGTTGTCATCTGGACTTTGGAGACAATGGGCCTCTATGGAAGGTGCTTCTTCGCTTTAAGCAGAGTATTCTAGGATTTATCCTCCCGCTTTTTGCCATGGTCTTCTTCTACACCCGAATAGGCTACATCCTCACAGTCCTAAGACCTCGGGGGAGGGGCCGAGCCCTGTGGGCAGCCGCAGCACTGGTGGTGGCCTTCTTTGTACTGTGGTGTCCCTACAATATCACCCTGTTCCTGCACTCATTGCAGGACTTACAGGTCCTTGAGGGCTGTGAGGTCAGCAAGCGTCTGGACTATGCTCTCCAGGTGACAGAGAGCATCGCTTTCACTCACTGCTGTCTCTCCCCTTTCCTCTATCTCTTTGTCCACCATCGGCTCAGGAAGCATCTCAAAAAGGTTCTAGAAGCCATCTTCAAGAGATCTAGGGAGTCCTCTGCTGCCCATCCCTCCCAGACCAGTTATTCCAACAGTTATTCCACAACCCAAGAAGAAATGACTAGCACTGACAGTCGGGGAGAAAGCTTACAGGATCATGGAATTTAGAGCTCATTGAGTCCAACTTCCTCATTTCACAAGTGAGAGTACTAGGAGAAAGTATAAGTGACTTGCCCAAGGTCACCAGGCATAGGTAGTAGTTGTGGGTTTTGAACCCAATTCTCTCTAGATAGAGCTCCTTCACAACCAGAACCTTCCACCAAACATCATGTTGACCTGTTGTAGTCAAAATTATCAACCTCAGAAACAGGAGATCTGGATTTGAATCCTGGTCCTGCCATTTCTTAACTGCTGTATAGGTTTTGGTGCAGTGGCTCCCAAATTCTTTAGATATAAGAACCCTTTTTTAACAACCACAAAAACACTGACAAACCTTCATGTAATAATAGATATATTGTTAACATCCATTGACTAAGGAAACAGGTCATAACAAAATGACAATACATGGTATGGACTCTCAGACCCTTTGTGGTAAGTCTGGGCTCCAAGGAGGGCCACAGTCCACATCCTTGAATCCACCTGTATGGTGGAAACAACCCTGGATTTGGAGTCAGAAAACTTGGCTTCAAGTTCTAGCTGTGCTATGTACTCCCTAAATGATTTCGAGCTACCCACTTTCCTCTCTGAGCTTCATCTTCTTCAATTATAAAATAAAAGGGTTGACATTCTAGAAAACTATTTGAAAATTACGTGAGAAAGGTTATTAAATTGTGTGTACCTTTTGATTCAAATAGTTCATTGCTATATATATGCCCTTAGGAATCTGCAAAAGAGGGATGATAATAGCTTCTACCTCCCATCTTGTTGTGAAGATCAAAAGAGATGATCTTTATGAAAGCACTTAACAGAGTGCTTGGCGTACTGTAGGTGCTATATAAATGTTAGTTTATGTTAGTTAGATTATGATTATTACTAATGAGGTTAATGTCAGAAAGATATGTTTCTTGTATACCAAAATATTCATAGCAGCACAACTCTGGAAATAAAGTGGGGCCCTTTAGGCTGTGGAATGGCTGAACAAATTGTGGCATGTGAATGTCTAAAGTGCATGTGTGTGGCCTATGTAGGTTATGTGTCCATCCACATGAGTCTGTGTAAATGTGGCTAGAATAGTTCTCAGCACTTATGGAACACTTAGTAGTCATTCTGTTCTCCAATATAGAGGAAGAGCATTATTCAAATCCCAGACTTGAGCTCTGGATAACAAATGTCATGGAATGTTATTGCATTGTAAGAAATGACAAAGGTGGAGAATTCAGACTTTATGACCTTGCAAGGTGAAGCAAGCAGAACTGGGAAAACCACTCCTATAATAATGTAAATTTTAAAAAAAACCCTCCAAAACACTGTAACCAAGTCAAAACATGGCCTCATAGAAGAGGTAAGAAAATGTGCCTTCCTCCTTTTGTTGCAGAGACGGTCCCTGCTTTCAACGGGCTTACATTCTAATGAAAGAAGATAACACCTAAAAAGAAGCTTGTGGTGAGGAAAATTCATTATAAATTTAGACTTAGAGCACCATGGGAATTTGTTGTTCAGTCCTTTCAGTCATGTCTGACTCTCTCTCTGTGACCCCCTTTGGGTTTTCTTGGCCAAGATACTGGAGTGGTTGGCCATTTCCTTCTCCACTACTATAGGAATAGGGATGATGATTATTCTGTATAAAAGCTTCAATAGGTGAAACATTTTGTGAGGAGTTCATTCCATGGGACCCACACTACAAATAGGCAATTGGCCAAACAAGGCAACCTAGGAGATCTGCTGACCTTAAGATGGACTTAGGTTATGTAGAGGGAGCATGTTCTCTCAGGTAACCACCACCCCCATGCCCAAACCTGTGCATCACTGCATAGCCCATGCTAATACTGTTCAGAGTGGACTCTGTTTAGAGAGGAAAACTTTCAGCATCTTGGGAGGGTGGGGGTGGGAAGTTAAGTGCAAACTCTCAAGAGAAAGACAAGATGTAGGAAGTTGCAAATGGGCACCAGGAGAGAGAGAAAACAGTTGTGGATCCAGGAAGGTGCAGCCTCTCCCCACTCCCAACTCTAAATAACTCCTGCCACTGACAGGAGGATTCCTCTCTGCTTCCAGCAGCAGTTACAGACATCCTCCTAGTTATAGTTTCCATGCCTTCAAAACCTTGGTTGCAAGATTTCAAAGCTTTGAAGTTGTGGTGCAGAGACATGACTTTTAGACCTAAAGATGCAGAATTGGATGTCTGAGGTGATGGGTGATCAGAGTTCTTCAGGGAGTGCTGAGAGAGGGGACTCATAAATCTTTTTCCTATTCTGTTCTGTTATGGTGCTACGCTGATAGGCGAAGGTATGTACAGCTTTCATTCTCATGACATCTGAAAGGTCATGGTTTGAAAAATGCATGGGAAGTCTGTTTACTGCTTGATTCTTATCTCTTGTTTTATATCCTTCATTAAACTGTAAGTATACTTTCCCTTTGTGATCATACTATGTGATTAATTCTGACTGGAAAGGGAAGTTTCAGAAGAAAAAAAAGGAAATTCATGGAGAAGTTTTATAGATCAGTAGTCTCCAAAGTCTGATGCATACAACCTAGTAGGAACACACACAAAAAAATTCTTTGCTGGTGCTGGAAAAAGAAAAGTTAGTCCCATTTATATTCATTTTTAGCTTACTAAAAAGAAATTAAGATTTACTAATATTTAATATGTGGATTGGCCCTGGAACCCTCAATCAATCCACCTGTGATATAGTGACATCCGTGTTATATAAAGCACTGGGAGGGAACAGTGGGAGTTCCACAATGCAAAAGAAGGGCTGACAATGGCAGCCTGTGATATACTGCAGCTCAAGTGTGTCTGGTTAAGTGGATATGCAGATTATATTATGTAGCTTTAAATGAACGAACCCTCACAAAATGAACAAGTGACTTAAAAAGTCTCTTTTTTAAAAAAAATTAATTAATTTTTTTTAGTCTTCAACTTCACTTCCATAAGCTTTTGAGTTCTAAATTTTCTGCCCCTGCCTCCCTCCCCAAGACGACATGCAATCTGATATAGGCTATACATATACATTCCTATTAAACACATTTTCACATTAGTCATGTTGTAAGGAAGAATTAGAACCAATAGGAGGAGCCATAAGAAAGAAGAAATAAAACAAAACAGAACAAAAAAAAAAGAGCAAATAGTATACACCGATTTGCATTCAAACTCGATAGTTCTTTCTTTGGATGTGGATAGCATTTTCCATCATGAGACCTTTGGAGAAGTCTTAGATCCTTGTATTGCTGGGAAGAGCTAAGTCTATCAAGGCTAGTCATAGCACAACATGGCTGTTATTGTATACAACATTCTCCTGGTTTTGCTCACCTCACTCAGCATCAGTCCATATAAGTCTTTCCAGGTTTTTTCTGAAGTCTGCTTGCTCATCTCTTTTTTATTTTTGCAAGGCAATTGGAGTTAAGTGACTTGCCCATGGTAACACAGCTAGTAAGTGTCAAGGCTGGATTTGAACACAAGTCTTCCTGACTCAAGGGCCAGTGCTCTATCCACTGCTCTACCTAGCTGCCCCTTGCTCATCGAGTCTTATAGCACAGTAGTATTCCATTATATTCATCTACCACAACTTGTTCAGCCATTCCCCAATTGATGGGCATCCTCTCAATTTCCAATTCTTTGCCACCACAAAAAGAGCTACTACAAATATTTTTGTGCATGTGGGTCCTTTTCCTATTTGTATGATCTCTTTGGGATACAGCCCTAGAACTGCTATTGCTGGGTCAAAGGGTATGCATGTTTTGATAGCCCTTTGGGCATAGTTCCAAGTTGCTCTCCAAAATGGTTGGATCGTTTCACAACTCCACCAACAATGCATTAGTGTTCCAGTTTTCCCATATCTTCTCCAACATTTATCATTTTCCTGTTTTGTCATGTTAGTCAATTTGATAGGTGTGATGTGGTACCTCAGGGTCATTTTGATTTGCACTTCTCTAATCAATAGTGATTTAGAGCATTTTTTCATATGACTATAGACAGCTTTAATTTCTTCATCTGAGAACTGCCTGTTCATATCCTTTGACCATTTCTCAATTGGGGAATGACTTGTATTCTTTGTTTGTTTGTTTCATTTTTTTTATTAATTTATTTTGATTTATCAACAATCACTTCCATAAAATTTTGAGTTTTAAATTTTTCTCCCCCTGGCTCACCACCTCCCTCCCCAAGATGATATAGGCTATATGTATACATTCCTATTAAACACATTTTCATGTTAGTTATGTTATAAGGAAGAATTAGAACAAATAGAAGGAACCACAAGAAAGAAGAAACGAAACAACACAGAAGAAAAAAATAGTAAATACTATGTTTTGATCTGCATTCAAACTCCATAGTTCTTTCTTTGGATGTGGGTAGCATTTTCCATCATGTGATGTCTTAGATCCTTGCATTGCTGAGAAGAGCTAAGTCTATCAAGGTTAGTCATTGCACAAGGTGGCTGTTACTGTGTACAACGTTCTCCTGGTTGCAAAGGAAATAATTTTTAAAAAGTAAAGGAAGGAGGTTTAGCAGTACCAGATCTTAAACTATATTGTAAGACAGTAATTATCAAAACTATCTGGCACTGGCTGAGAAACAGAAAAGTAGATCAATGGAATAGAGTAGATATACAATTTACAGCAGCAAATAAACATAATAACCTTGTATTTCAGAAGTATAAAGACTTAAGATTTCAGGATGAAAAGTCATCATTTAGTAAAAATTGTTGGGAAAACTGGAAAGCAGTATGGGGAAAAATGGGCATAGACCCAATATCCTATACCATTTACCAAGATACGGTCCAAATGCATACATGACCTAGATATAAAGAGAGATTTTACAAGGAAATTAAAAGAACATGGAATGTATTACTTAACAGACTTATGGATAGGCAAACAATTTACAAATAAACAAGAGATAAAGAGCAAAGTTAGGTGTAAAATGGATAATTTTGATTACATTAAATTAAAAAGGTTTTGTGCTATTAAAACAGATGTTGCCAAGATCAGAAAGAAAGCAGAAAATTTGGGGAAAAATTTTTATAGACGGTTTATCAGGTAAAGGTCTCTTATCTAAAATATATAGAGAGCTTTATTCAATCTATAAGAATACAATTCATTCCCCAATTGATAAATGGTCAAAGGATATGAACAGGCAGTTTTCCAAAGAAGAAATCAGAACAACTTGTAGTCGTATGTAAAAAATGCTCTAAATCATTGATTAGAGAAATGCAAATTAAAACAACCTAGAAAAAAAAACAACAACCTTGAAATATCATTTTACACCTACCAGACTGGCTAAAATGATAGAGGGGGAAAGTGGCAAATGTTGGAGAGGATGTGGAAAAATTGGGACAATGTTTCATTGTTGGTGGAATTGTGAACTGATCCAACCATTTTGGACAGCAATCTGGAATTATACCCAAAGAGTTATTAAGCTACCTATACCCTTTGACCTGGCAATACCGCTACTTGGTCTATTTCCAAAGATGCTTAGGGAAGAAGGAAAAGAACCTGTATGTCCTAAAATGTTTATAGCAGCTCTATTTGTAGTGTCAAAGAACTGGAAATTGCAGAGATGCCTATCAATTGGAGAATAGCTAAACAAGTTGTGCTATATGATTGTGATGGAAATACTACTGTGCTTTAAGAAATGATTAGCTCAATGATTTTAGAAAAACATGGAAAGCTTTGAATGAAATAATGAAGAGCAAAATAAGCAGAACCAGGAGAATGTTGTATATAGTAATAGCAATATTCTTTTAAGAACAACTTTGAATGAATAAGTTATTTTGGCTATTACAAATACCCAAATTAACTATAAAGGATATATAAAGAAAGACACTATCTGCATCCAGAGAAAGAACTGACAAATGGATGTATAGAATAATTTTACATATATAGATAGATAGATATTGATATTTGTGTCTAATGGTAGCCATCTCTTAGGGGGAGGAGAGGAAAGAAAAAAAAGAAATTTACATGATAATTTTGTTGTATATTTGAAAGAAATAGCAAGTTGTGCATAGCAGATTTGTAGTTTCATGTGTAATCATCCTTTTTTATTGTACTATGTTATGGAAATGTTTATTTTATTCCATAAATTAAAAAAATTTTTTAAAGGAAGCCTATTCGATCATTATTAAAATTAGGTTCTTTCAGTGAGAGCAAAAAAGATTTTTGCACCTTTAATAAATAAAGCAGCAAAACCATTTTAAAAATTGTTTATTGAATCTTTAACTCATCCAATAGAAATTATAAAATACATGATGGCTAGGTGGTATAGTGTATAGAGCACTGGCCCTGGAGTCAGGAACACCTGAGTTCAAATCTGACCTCAAACAGCTTGCTACTTCCTAGCTGTGAGACCCTGGGAAAGTCACTTAACCCTGATTGCCTCACCAAAAATATGTATATATATATATATATATATTATATATATATATATATATATATATATATATATATATATATATTTCTATTTTTGTTGTTGTTTTATAATGTATATAATACATTAATTACAGAAGCACCTATATATAATATATATGTATATATATAATTTTGTGTATTCATGAGGACTGCATACACAAAAATTTTTTATTGACAGAGATGTGTGATCACAAAAGTTTGGAGACCACTAGCATCGCTGATGAACCTTAACAAGCTCTACAAACTTGAACTTGGCACTGAGGCACCACAGGTATAACATATTAACAAGATTAATCAAAATAAGCTCTTCAGGCACGACTGTTTTCAAAATAAATTCCCAAACAATGTCAACAGACTTTAAGCTGACTCATGTTTATAAGGCTCTTCCCATGAAGCAAAGTTTTCTTGAACTGAATTAAGTGGAAAGCATTTACTCCATGTGTTACTTGAACCCCTCATGGCATCCCTCCATTTTACAGATGAGGAAACTAGGACCAAGAGAAAGAAAATGACCTGCCCCTCTCTTCACATAGTTTCATCTTTCTATGCCCAGTTTACAGTCCAGTTTGAGGTTGGGGAAGGGCAGGAAACAGTACTCTTATAAGAATTTTTAGGGAGCAAATGAACTCCAGTTCATTGGTACAATAATGAATGTTTCTCAAAATCCTACATTTTAGATCAGGAAGAAAATCTTGAGATCATCCAATCTAGCCACCTTTGGTGAGCGGACTAAGGTCTAGAGAGGGAGTAATTTGCACAAGGTCACAGACACTGTAAGAAGCAGAACAATTTCAACCACTGTCCTCTGACTCATATCCTCCTTTCTACTGGAGCCCTCTACTGGAGTCCCATACATAGCTGGAAGAGACCTCTGAGGGCAACCAGTGCATAAGAAGCCTTCCACCACACAGCCTAAACAATCAACCATCTTACTGCCACTTAAACAAGTATCCTATGAAAAGATGAACATTAATATAACCTCTGATTTCTACTGTATTGATTTTACAATGTAATGAATTTTGTGATGTATTGATTTTTATAATTGAGTTAGCGTCCCAGAAAGACTCAGAAATGTAGTTTTCCCTTGGAGTTAGTTCAAAGGCATGTTTGAAAAGGAATGTTTTCATTCAGACCCTGAGTCAGCTCCTGGGACATCTTGTCATCTGTAAGCTCCAAGTGACTTGACTTGGTGCCACACCCCAAAAGAGATGTCATCTATACTTGTTTGTCCTTGTGCAATCCGGGTAGGCATGTTCTCCCCAAGGGGACAAAAACTTGGTGGTTGTGGTTCCCTAACAAAGATTACAAGAGGCAGGTGAGTTCCATAAAACAATGAACACTCCTTAATTGTCAGAGAAAGGTGGGATTAGCCACACACGAATGCCAACCCACTCTTCCTAGTACGGCCAATTGCTAGGTTCCAAAACTAACCCAGTTTCC